GGCAGCGTGTGGGGAGCAGTGCTCTTCATACTGGCAAGCTTGCCCGGTTATGATGGTGGCGCTTAGTCACCGTGGTGAGCTGCCTCGTGCCAGAGGCTTCCACGGCTGACGTGTGTGTCCCGGAAGCCCTGCAGTCCCACTGTGCCATATAAGAATTCCTCAGTTGACCCATCTGTTCAATTATTGAATCATTCATTCATTCAGCAAATATTGCATCTACTTACGTGCTGGGGACTGTGTGAGCCCCTGGGACAAAGGCGAGCAAGACAGACGTGGCCCCTGTTTAGGGACAGCCTGCAAGCTAGTATTGCCTTTCATTTTCTTGTAAAAAGCTCCCTCCTTGGTAATGAAAGAATCATAAGAACATAAATGACTTCTCCCAACCCCTACAAATCAAATCAAAGAGAATTATGAGGCAGACCAAAAAAAAACCAAAAACCCCAAACCACTTGAATTATCTTCTGGAGGGCAGGCCCCTTGCAGTCCAGGCTTCCCCCCACTAGGTTAGTGTTTTGTCCCGCAGAGCTTCCCATCTGGATCAGTGCACCAGCTGGCGTCGTTGTGAGAGGCTGTGTTTGGCTTCAGGAAGTTTTCTTCTGAAGACTCTTTCAATGTGTTTGCCCATTTCATGACGGGTGATTTATGAGTGCAACTGCCCACACCGTGCTGAGTGTTCGGCAGTTTTTGACCAAAAGCAGCATGATCCCCGTGCCCCACCCTCCCTGTTCACCCCACCTCACCCCAAGTGACCTTTTTATTTTCCTGGATGAAAAAAGTCCTCAAAGGGAAACGTTTTGCCGATGTGCAAGAGGTGAAACAAACAACGGTGGAAGCACTAAAAGGCATCAAAACACAGGTTCGAAAACTGTTTTGAGCAGTGGGAAAAAGTCTCAATGGGTGTATTACATCCAATGGAGAGTACTTTGAGGGTGACTGAAGTTTAAACATGTGAGAATAAACACAGCTTTTTATAAATACACTCCATTTTGGGGGGGAATCCCCCCACGTAGAGTAATGAGATGGCTCCCTGAACTCATCTGGATACTTGGGATTTCAGGGTTTTGTCCATTTAAAGGAAAGTGAGAAACCCCCTCTCGGGGCTGGTTTCAAACAGGGGTGCACCAGCTCCTTGGAAGAATCTGGAACGCACGGAAGACCCTCAACACGGCGGAGGACTTCTGCTGTCGGGGCCTGGGAGTCCTTTCCCTAGCTCAGCCAGACGTCTCAGTGTCTGGCTCCCAACAGATTCAATGAACATTTACTGACTTTGTCAACGTCTACATCTTTAACAAAAGAATCAAAGTACCTAGTTCACTTAAAATGCCAAAACAAAATTAGCTAAGAGCAGCAGAACATTGAAAAACTTCAGTTTATGTTTCTTAGCAACATACATGGCTATGTAGGACAGTTCCTGGTAACAGCCGGTCACGGGCGTTTTGCTCTTGAAGAAAGGTGTCTCGTGGACACTCTCTCAGTGAATGGGTTTCCTGTCCCGGTGGCTGGGGTGGCCTCCCTGGGCACTGTCACCAAAAGGGATTAAGTAGGTTTCTCTCCTAGTTCACACCTCAGCATCTCTTCTCAGGGCAGCAGGAATTTTGAGCAGATCTCTTTAGTGAGGATAAGTAGCCTTAAAAAAAAAAATCCATGAATTCCAGGAAGACAAGAGTCTCCATTGGGATCAAAGACACAGGAGGGGATGGGGCTCGCCTCCCTCCAGGTTTGATTATTTGACAAAAGGTCACTTTATCCAATCACAACCCACTCTCCCCCCTAACCTAATGCCCCCAGTGAACGCGGTCAGCACACAAGGTCAGGAAGAGGAGGCAGCGAGAATTTGTATAATGCTCTTGATGGCCTTCCCTTCCTCTCGGGAACCCACGAATAACTCGGTGAGCAGTGTCTCCTTCCCTAGAGAGTGAGGGGCCAGGGAGAAGAGGCTTCAGTACCCAAAGGGCAGCATGGATTCCCCAGGTTTCACCGTGGGAGGCCATCTGTTAAGGCAGGGAGAGCGGAGACCCCAGCTGTCTCAGACCACTGTTAGAACGCCGGTAAAAATGCGATGTCACAGCGAAGGGACGCACACCGAGGCAGGCAGGCATCCCTCTCCAAATGGGTGGCCTCGGATGCCGTCATAAATGCGGGGAACGGGGTGAAAGGGGAAGTTGGGGTGGGTGTACTTTTAGACCCCATGTGTTACACCGGCCACGTGGAGGAGACGGAAGTCTGTTCTGGCCGGGGCCTTGGAGGAAGCGTTCTTCCCCCGCCCCGCCCCGCCCAGGGAGGCTCGTCTTCCTGCACGGTGGGCCCAGGCACACACACCTCTCACGGCCTCACGCTGACCGCCTGCTGTTCCACAGTGCCTTCAGATTCAGACCCTCGTCTACGGAGCGCAGGACAAGAGGTCCCTGGCCACGCAGCAGTCCCTGGACGTCCTGTCCAAGTGAGTGGCCTCCCCTTGCACGGTTTCCCGGGCTTCTCGTGACTCCGCCTTTCAGCCTCACCGGGGGGAGCTGGTCCTGTCGCCAACTGCCTTCCCATCACTCTGTGCTGTGCCAGACCAGCTCCTTGGAAAACCCAGCTGCAGACTACCTTCCTTGCCCGGGTATTGAGACGGAATTAGCTCTTGCATAATGTCCGAACTGCGGGCTGGCGTCTGTCCTCTCGCAGACCAGAAGGTCACTTGTCCTGCGGGGGATTGTGACTCAGAGCACGGCATGGACTGTGGGAACCTGCCTCGGGCTTCCCTGCGTTCCTGGGGTGCCTCTCGGGGTGGGAGCCCCAGAGCCTGCTGAATTCACCCTGCAGGCCCTCTCTCTGCCGCGGAGGTGCCCACCTCCCCAGAGCCCCCGGGCCGCCTGTCAGGTCTGAGCTCCGGGCAGCTGCAGAGCCGCACACAGCCAACAGGGGGCACTGTCTTGTGTGCCAGGCCCCTGACCCCTGGGGCCTCCAGCCCAACCTTGGGGTTCTCACTCGGCTCGCTGAGCCCACTAAGGGTTGATGGTGTGGGCTCAGCGGGAATGGTCACGGGGACTGGAAAGTTCTAGAAAACGCCCTGTTTTTTCACGTTCCTGGGCCATGATTTTCCTCTCACCCACATCCCCTCCTGAGGCTCCTTCATGGAATGCAAGTCGGCAGCTGCCGGGTTTGTCTTCACTGCAGCCGAGGCTGGGGGGCCCGGGTGGAGGTGTGGGGGCGCCACATTCACCACCCTCCGCTTGTCCGCAGGGCCCCCGACGTGCCTGGGAAGCTGCGGCAGGCCCCAAGAGCCAGACCGGCCTTCTGCACTGGCGGGGCTCCGCCGCCCACGCCGGGGAAGGCGAGGCCCCAAGCCGTGGACTGAGACCCCGCCTCAGCGCGGCCGGAGCAGCGGTGGTGCCTGGGTGCAGGGCACACGTGTCTCCAGCAGGAAGAGCGGATCCTCCAGCAGCCGCTATGCGGATCTCCGAGGCTGGCTGTGCACCGCCATGGACACGCCCCTGCCCCCCAACCCCGAGGGGCGGAAAAGCTGCTCTGGGGAAGTTCGGTTCTGCCCAGGCAGGAGAGTAGTCCCAACATCCACCCGTCCTCGTATACCCCTCAGCACAGGTCTGAAATCAGAACCGCAGCAACTAAATTCTGGGGGGAGCCCTTTCCTAGAGGAAGGTATCAGGGACTGAGAATAAAATGCTAATAAAAGGAGACCTGAAAGTGCTGGCCATCATATGTGTGGGCACTGCTGTCCCTTCCCTCCCTGCCCCTCCCCCGGCAGACCGCCACTCAGCAAGGCCGCAGGCTGGTGCCACACACAGCAGGGTGGCTTTATTTTTGCAGGGGGCCACCTCAAGAATGAATGGGGGAAACCAAGCCCAAAAGACCCGTGACGGGGGGGAGAGAGGCAGGGTCCCTTGTCCTCCTTCTCCGGCATGTGGCAATGACTACACAGGTCAGCCCTGCCATCCCCACCCGAGCCGACAGGCCTGTGGAATGAAGGCAGGGTGCACAGGAAGGGGATAGAGGCCCCCACTCCCCAAGCGTCCAACCTGGTTGAAGACACGGGTTCTGATGTGCGTGGCTGGAATAGGGATCACCTCCACACCATACTGAGGTCTGCTGAGGACGGAACGTTTGTGTCCCTCTGGAATTTGAATGTTGAGGCCCTAATCCCCAACATGAGAGTATTTGGGTCTCCGGGAAGTGATCCGTGTGTGAGTTTGCCCCCACCGTGCGTAGGATCGGTACCCTCACAAGAAGAGACAGGACAGCAGTGGTCTCTCTACCGTGTGAGCGCACAGCAAGGGTGGCGGCTGTCTGTAATCAGGAAGAGGGCCTCCGCCAAGGACCTGGCTATCAGAGCCTTGACCTTGGGCCTCCCCCTCCAGAACTGAGAGAAATGCCCAGTGTATAAGCCTCCCGTCTGTGGAGCAGACTGCGAGTCTTATGTTACATTTTTCTTTTCTTTCTGAACTTCCTGGAGCATATTACCTTGGAATCACAGAAACGAACGCACATATTGCAAAATTCAACCGCCACCTGGGGAAGCATGAATTTTGGAATATTGTAGCAAATATTGCCCATCTATTAACTGTGTTAATTCCACATGAGAGGAACTCAATGACTATTTATGGATTTTTTTTCCTGGTAAAATGTTACAAACAGGTAAGAGCACCGAACTATTCCTCTGTCCCAGTTTTAGCACTGACGGTCCCGTGTCCCAGGCAAACGGCAGCCATCCCAGCCGTGACAATGGTGTTCTTTGCACCAGCTATCCAGGTTGGACGTGAATACCAGCCAGTGGGTTGAAGCTCTGTCTGCTGTGCTTTCTGGGTCTGTGTTCAGTCCCGTTCTGGTTTGGGCAGGGGGTGGAGGATCTGGGACTCCTCCCGTGTATTCTCCCCAGTGGATTCCATGCCATCATGAAAAGCATGGGTGGAAACACGTATATGTTTTAATTGGGGTTTACACAAAACACAGAAACACCTACTGGAAAAACATTCTTTCTCTTTAGGAGCAATGAGAGGTGGTTTTGTTTTCCTTAGATTTTTATTTGTGCACATTCTGTGACATGCCCCTCTGTAGAGAACAGGAGGTTGGCAAGATAAGCTTTTTAGGTGACTCCACTCCAAATATACATGTTGAACAAACAGCATCAAAACAAGCAGTGGGGAGGTGAGCGACATCTCATCCATACTGCCATTCTGAACAACAATCAATAGGAAAAGGCTGTGTCCTCGCCCCCAAACGACCACAGAGCTGAGGCCTATTGTCTCTGGAGTGACAGGTTTCGAAGGGCACACAGCTGGGGGGTGACCTGTCACAGTGCTCAGGGCACGCCCTGCTCCCAAGTGACCAGGTGCAGTGGCCGTCGGCAGCTCTCGGTTCTGTGTGGGTTCTGTGCATACTTTTGGCAGATGCTTCTCAAAGGCAGCTCCTCGCCCCATGGCGACGGGAGTTCAGATCTCAGATATTTATTTTGCCAAAGAGAAGTGGAACACAGTATTAACCTGTGCGTGCTGGCACCCACTGACAAGGTCCTGAGCTGTGACAGCAACATGAAAGGGAGCCACTCAGGCTCACACTGCCAACCCCTCAGTCTGTCCAGCCGTCAAAACAGTAGGCCTCGGCCCCAACCAAATTCTCGCCAATAAACCCCTTACACGCACACACCGTTGCAACGGCAGCCAACAAAATCAGCCTGTCTCTGCCTGTTAGAAGGGAGAAGTCTTGCTCTGCAAAGCCCTCACCTCCCCACCAGGTGCTGACAGCCACCAGTTCACCCGGCAGGTAACAAAGGTGCACCGTAGCCTTTCAAACCTACTTTCTATCCCCAATTCTGAGTGGTTTTTCAATCAGATCACCCCCCAAAGGTGTACTGTGCTTTTTCCCTCATATCAATAAAGAACACAAACTCTTCCTAAACTGTCTGCTGTAGCCGTTTTGGGGCACTGAGGAGACGTGCATTTCTGGGGTCCGAGGGCCACCACGTGGAATCCCGAGAGGAACCTCAAATGCTATAATCACCACCCCCCCCACCAATCATATAACCTCCAAGACGGTGACAGAGCCCCGGCCACTGCTCTCTGCACTGCAGGCAGTCCTTGAGACTGTGTTAGAGGAAGCATAGTTCGGACAACGTCCGTGCCAAGGACTAACTTGGGTTAGAACACCGCTGTGCTGCTAGAGACGCTAGTTCTGACGCCATGCTGCGCCTTTAAGGGTGGAAGCTGTAAAAACAATACCGCACAATACCGCGAGGAAAATGAAACAGAGCCACCAGAACACACTCATTCCAATGCCCTGAAGGCAGTGGGACAGATCCGTGGGTGCCTGTGCTGGGGACCGAGGGAGTGGGCTTCTCCTGGAGGCTTCAGTGCTGGGCCATGGGAAGGGCCCCCAGTCCCTTCCCCAAAAATATCTTATCCCACCTAACATGTTCTTTGTTCTCTTGTACAAAACCACCTCCCTCTACGGACTTCCGTTAAAAGTGCAAGGACTTCCGTGTTGGTTGTCCTTTTTCATCTCTCCCGCTTTGAGCTCAGAGATGCCCACTGGGTTGGCAGTGGGTGGAGAAGGGGTCCTTGGTGGGGGTGGGGGGCAGCAGGGGCGGCACCGCTCACCCAAGGCTTCTGACTCCACTGCCCACGGCCCCGGGCAACAGCCCAACATCAACATTCTCGTTACTGTCTCCAGGGTCTGCCTCCCACCAGTGACGTCAGATGTTTATGTGCAGGGAGAGTGCAGAGAAGTTCAAGTGTCCCCTGATGAGAGCTGGCGGCTCCAGAACTTAGGTCATGCCCAAAAAAAGCGTTATTTAGACCCAGGGCCACCAGGAAGAAATGGTACCATGAGCGACTGATTCACAGTGATCGCTTCCCCTCCACAAGGGTCCGGGGCAGGGTCCCCAGAACCTGGGCCAACAGGGCCCGGGCTGGAGCTGTCCTCTCCAGGAGTAACGTGCTATATGTTTTAAAAGTTCTATGCGTAGAAAGCAATTCTTTCATGTCTTAAAGTGAATTTAACTCTATGACAAGTACCTTTTTCCTAAAGGTGAAATCCTTTAGATTTCTTTTCATTAGTAAGCCGTCTGCTCATTTCCTAAGATTTCTTTTTGAGAGAAGACTTCAGAAAGGGAAAAAAATATTGGCTTTTGTTTTGCCTTAAAAGGTTAGTTTACTAATTCTTATGAGCACATGCAAATACATTTACTCTTTAATCCTAAGTAACTGTAATCTGGTTACTCTTCAGGCAGTTTACCTAGGGCTTCAAACAGGTGCGAAGCATTTCTGTGACCAGGTGCACACTGATCCGAGGAGTGAACACTCCACCAAAAAAGGAACTTTTTAAGACTAAAAAGATACGAAGTATTTTCATAAAAGTCCCAACTCAAAAAGATAAGATTCCTATGCCGTTTAAGGCGTGAATCAATTTGAAACCCTTAAAAGGTCACAAAGTTAGTCGGCCTCGCCCGGAACACTCGTTGGAGAAATTAAAAAGAAGGGGGGTGACGCTTTAAGAAGGAGCCCCCTTCCCCTAAAATAAGTAAAGGCCTGTGTGTGTTGGCACACTGCGAAATCAGATGCCATTGCAAACGAAACAGTTATCAAAACCAGTGGCCCTCATCATCCTCCCCCTGATTGTCTAGATAGAGGATGGCCACTTTCTTTTCATCCGAGACCACCGACCTCTGGTCTACCATTCTCTGCAGCTGCACGGCCCTATCGAACTCGGCCTGCTCCTGGCTCTGAGCACTCACACCGGCCGCCCGGTCCCCCCCACGGCCAGCATCTCTCCAGGTTCCACCGTGAGCCTCCGCTTCCGTCCCGGCAGGGAAGAGGGCTCTGGCCTCTGGGGTCCAGCTGGGGGTCGCCTCTATGTGACTCACGTCCATCTGAAAGGTAAACGAGGTTTCTTTGGGCCCCAGTGCGATGCGCCTTAGTGACCCGCCATCTGCGGCCTCGCCCGGCTCAGGGGGGGCGGTAGACCCGGCAAGGGCTGAGGCTGGGGAAACGGGCCGGTGGAAGGCAACGCGTTCGGAGGTCACGGTTTCTGAGGGACCTAGCTGAATGTGCCTGAAGGATCTGCTCCCGCCCGCCATCTCTTCTGCCCCTGACGTGTCTCCCCCACCAGCCTCCTGGGGAGACTGGGACTCGAACCCTTGGAAGGTGCTCTTCTGAGTCATCAGGACTGTCCTACCCACGGAGTAACTGCGAGCGGCCCAGGTCCCATCTGCTGAGCCCTCTCCGGGGGCACTGCTGTCTGAGTCGCCCACTCCCCCAGGCCGCAGACCCCTCTGCTCAGTAGTCTGGAGACTGTGAGAGCCGACTGTGACGTGCCTGACAGACGTGCTGGCCCCTGACCACTCTCGCGTGTGCACAGAAGCCCCTCCGACACCCGAGTCTGTTGTGTCTGAAAGCGGGACTGTAACCTGGATTTGCTCACTGAACCCCTCTCTTGGGCCTAACTGGAGGTGCCTTACAGAAGTCAGGGCACCCGCTGAGTCTTCTGTTTGACCAGAATCACCACCCTCCCCTGGCCCAGAGAACAGGACCTGAAAAGTCCTTTCCCGTTGAGCGTGAAACTGTTGGGAGCCCAACCCACTGCGGCTGCCCGACCTGTCGGTGTCTGCGGAGACTTCTGTGGGGCGGGGCTCTTCGGTGGCCCCCACGTCCCGAGCAGCAGGGACTGGCCCCCGGAAGAAGATTTCTTGGGACGCTTGACTTTGACCAGGATCTAACGGAAAGTGTCTCACGGACCAGCTGGCTCCCTCTGCCGAGCTGGATGCCTGACGCAGGCCGCCTTCCCAACTTACCTCTCCTGCAGGGGGTGCTTTGGGGGGGCCTCGCTCAGTCCCCCAAACCCCAGCGGGGCCTATTGTAACGTGTCTCACAGACTGGGCCACGTCCTCTAGCACGTGTGACTGCACGAAGCCCCTCGGGCTGGTGACCTCCACGGTGGCCGACACTGGCCCGTGCGAAGGGACCCTTTCTGTGCCCTGAGAGGGCGGGCCACTGTCCCCATCGGAGGGCCTGTACAGCTCCTGGGTGGCCCAGCGCCTGAAGCCAAAGGTGGGGGCTGCCACTGCAGGGTCCGCGTCGGGGCTCCCTGGCGCTGGGCTGTGTCGCTTGGCCAAGGTGTCTCGCACCACGGACTCCACGGCTTTCTCTATGGCATCGGCCTCGTCTTTGCTCAGCTCCTCCAGGTCCAACTGATCGGCATCCACGGTTTGCGAGAGGTTGACTTCCGCCATCAAGGTCACGGCCTCCCCGCCCGAGGTCTGGACTTTCTTCACATCAACCGAAAGGTTCCCCAGCCCGCCCTGGCCCTCCGAGGTGAGGGCAGAGAGCTCCTCCTTCACCCGCTCCGGAAGGTTCTCCTCCAGCTGCCCGATGACCTCCACCAGCTGGTGCCTGGGCTCTCTAAAGTCTCTCTTAATGGACATGTGCAGTTCATGGGGTATTTTAATCTCCTTTTCAACCACCGTGGTTTCGGCATGGAATTCGCCACTGCTGGTTTGTTCTATCCAGTGCGGAGAACCCACGTGCCCCGTCAGGGAAGGTTCTGGAACAGCCGGTGGCTCCACAACCTTCTCTCCCAAATCCTGGTCCCTCGCCCGTCTTCGCCGAGACACCGGCACAATTTCATCTTGCCAGGAGTACCGGATGGTGGATTCCTCTTCGATGTGGATCTGCCCGTACACGGAGCCTTCGTCCCTGTCACCCCCGGCCTCGTGCTCCGGGGCCTCGTCGGGGGTGGACACAAAATAGCTCTGCTCTCCCTCCCAGTCACCTGCCTCTGTCACTTCTTCAACGTGAGTTACGCTCTCTTGGGGCGGCTTGGCCTCCTCACGTCGACTCGTGGAGAACGTGACCTCCGTTTCTCTGTAACCTTCCTTCGAGACCAGCCCCTTGGAGCCCGGAGAAATGTCGTCGGCCTCCTCCACGTGGAACGGGGTAGCAAACTCGTGCACCTCCCCGCCGCCTGCGTAGCTCATGGGCTCCTCCGTGATCTCCACGTTGACCACTCTGGCTCTCCCCTCCCTCCCTTTCAGACCGAGGTTGATAATGTCTCCGATCATCCGCTCGGTGGGTTTTCCTTTCAGCCCGACTTTGTCCCTCGCGTCCTTGCTCAACAGGTAGTCCAGGCCAGCTTCATCCGTCACGTCGATTTCCTCGGTCAGTTTCGACTCCACCACGATGTCCGTCTTCGTCTTCTTTTCCCCGGGAAGCTCTTTCCTGCCCACGTAGGTGACTTTTGTGTCCGGAAAAGAATCCGCAGACGCTTCCGTGTCGGGAGACTGGGTGAGCTGCTGCAGGACACTGGACACGATGCTTTCTGCTATGGTTTCGGTCACAGAATCGCCTTTCAGAGAGCCCGTGGCGTCCCCGGTGTCCAACCTGAACCGCGTCTCTCTCGCACCCACCCCTCCACCTGGGCCACCACCCGCGTCCTTCCGCAGGGGGGTCTGGGCGCCCTTCAGGGTCCCTTCTGCCGCGCTGCCCCGGGATACTTCTAGACGGATCGGGACCTCTCTTTCTCTCACGTGTTTCTCCTTCAACGACTCCTTCTCCTTCCCCTTGTCCCTCATTTGCTGGGTCTCCCTCATTCTCGCTTCTTTATCTAACTTGGTCAGCTCCTCCCACCGCAAGTTTCTCTCCTCTGAAGCCTTCTCCTTAGAATCAAACAGTTTCTCCTCTCGCTTCGTTTGGACGGTTCCTGGTCTGTTTCTCTCCTGCTCTCTTGTGACTTGAGCTTCTGTTTTCTTCCCCAAAATGACAGTCCTCTCGTGGGACCAGGTGCTTTCAGAAGCCCCTGCCACCACATTGTCCCTGTGTCCTCGGTAGGACTCCTGGGTGAGGGTGGACTCTCGGCCCGAACCACCAGCCTTGGTGCCTTCAGTTCTTGGTCTAGTAGGGAATGTTTGCACTTGAACTTCAGTATTTCTTAAGGGCCTGGACATTGGAGAGAAAGCTCTGAAGCCGGCTTGACGGTGGGCAGTTTTTTCGTAAGCGTTCTCCCGCCAGGAGGTGGTAAGGGGAGGATATCCTGGGCCCAGGGAGCGTCTCCTGGAAGCGCTTCCAATGGCTGCCTGCAACGCGGGCTGTGCCCAGCTGCGACGGAAGCTTCCGGAAGGTGGCTTGTGCCTCAGGAACAGATTTCTTTCGTTTTCCCTCTGTAACACCGAGCTGGTACGATGATAGGACGTGCTTCTGAGCTCTGTAGAAATGGACAGGTCATTAATACAGGAGTCATCATTATGTCTTTTCTTCTTAATCCCAGCCCATCATAACGAATGCATCCTATTACCACAGAAAGGTCATTGGGAATAAGACATTTTCAGCCTCCAAATTATCCTGTTACAATAAAATAAAGTACTAGAAATGCTTCACCATGACACTTTGGTTACCGATGAATAAAATACTCATCTGTCTTAACAAATATATAAATATATAAAAATATAATATATTAATATCTATATTATATAATATATAATATAACATAGCAACACATATAATATAATGTTATTTATCTATAATATATTATATATTATTATATAAACATATAATCTGACACATAATTATAATATGTATAATTATGTTATATAATTATATAATATAACATAATATATACTATATCATAATATAAATATAATATATAAATATATATAAGATATAAATATTTGTTAATAAATATAAAGCATGACACTCATTATGGAGAGGTTGGGGGGACTAGTTTTTGAGGCCAAAACTTCATGATACTAAGATAATTTGGAATCGTTCATTTCCACATTATTGACATCAGTTTTTTGTATTTAATTACAGCAGAGAAGAACTTCAGAATTACAAAGTACATAATATGCTCTTATTTTTCATTAATTCCAGCAAGGATTAAGGAACTTAACTTTTTTTTAAGCTTCCCGATCTCTTTTATTTTTACACTTCCATTTTTATGAACTTCTCATTTGAAAAGGTGCCAGGGCAGGAAGCCGACCGGTCACTATCACTGCGATTTGTTTTAATGTCGTGACCTGGGGCTGGGAGGCCGTCCGAGGGGCTGCCTGCCTTGCGCTGCCTGCGCCATCCGCAGAGAGGGCTACCCAGGTGGGGGGGAGGCGCCCAAACCCCACCAGGCCACCTGCTCACAGGAGCGGCAGCAGGTGGTTAGAATAAGGTGGGAGCACCATCCACTGTGAGAGCGCCCCCTTGTGCCCACACCCCACCCTGCAAGCTGGACAGAGCCGTCTCTCCCCCTTGGTCTCCATGGCAACCAAGGCCAGGGGCCTCTTTAAGACAGGGGAGAGACCAGGGGAGAGACCAGGACAAGACATTTTCTACAACAATTCTAAAGATCTTTTTGGGTCCCCATACTGATTCTAAATGGAGAAGCCCCAGAAGATGATCCCAGGAAACAGGGCAGGCAGGAACTGCCTGGTTTTTAATTACTGGTGAGTTCCAATGAGCAATTGGCAAGATCGCAGATGGGACCTTCCGGCTTATCATCTTGTGGGCACGTGGACAATAGTACTTGATGCAATATTACAGAAGAAAAATGAGCGCGTCGATAGCATTGATAAACTCACTATTTAGGAACACCTATTACACAGACAGAAGGGAAGCTCAAAGCCTAACAAAAGAGTTCACAAGTGACACTCTTTATTCCAAACTTACCTCCTTTTGGCACCGTACATAATTGCTAAAATAAGCATAGTTTTAAAATGCTGCCCCTCTTATCCTTTAAGAAGCTTGAAATGAATGAATGGAACAAGTTGACAGATACCTGGATGCCCTCTAAAAATAAGTAAATAAAAGTTTAAAAATACATATTGGCCACACGAATAAATGAGTTTTTTATCACGCACTTTGCCACACATTTTCATTTAGATTATCATTTAAACTAGGGCTCACTGAATAAAATCCACTTGATATTCAAAAGAGGGCTGAACAGTGGTTATCTGAAAAACCCTAACTCAATTCTGCCAGATAAACGATGCCTCACTGTTTATCCAGCGACTGAGTCTGTGCAGATGGAAAGCACCATGAAGTTCCATAATTAGCTTTTCTTCTATTTTTACCTGGTGGCAGGCTTTCGATGCGCTCAGTCAAGACCAGTATCTCCGGGTTACTTTCTCCTTCCAATAAGGCGCTGTAGAAATAATGTTTAAAAGACACTCATCAGGAAATAAAGAGCGAGAGGCGCCTCTGTAAGCCGCAGGACGGAGGACTTGGTCAGCGACCACATTGCTACTTCGTCCTGTGCTCCCGGAAGATGCTGCACCACAGGGCGGCAGACCTGGGCGGAGAGGGCATCCCCCCAAATAAACGGACAGAATGAGGCGCTAGCCCACAGGTGGCGAACACCAGGTCTGAGGGCAGAATCTGGCCTCCACCTTGTTTTATCTGGCCCGGCACCTTGTTTCTGCCTGGCAGCAGCACCAAGCTTTTGCTGAACTGTGAAGGAGTAGTTACGCGTATACAGTTCTAAAATCACATTTGGTCCTCTGAAGGCAACCTCGAGGCTGATGTGGCCCCCGGTGACAATGAATGTGACACCCCTGCCAGAGCTTCAGAACTACTGGGGAGCCCAGCCCTTCTAGAAAGCCCTTCCACACCCAGGGTCCCGAGGAAGAGACAGATGAGGGCCCGGGATGGGTGGTCAGGGGCCTGGCTTCTCCAGTAAGTAGGGAGGGGCCCGTGCATGGCATGGCGCCCCCACTGAGGTCTTTCTGGGATCAGGAGTCAGAGGTTGACCCGGAGCGGAGCAAGGGCTGACACTGGCTTTTTTTTAAGCAGGCAAATGTGGTTTTCAAACTGGAGTCCACAGGGGCGTCTGGGAGATGAAAAGCAAAGAGGAAGATGGGAGGCAGGCAGGGGAGGAAGAGAAAGAGTCGGGGGACGCCCCCCTCCCAGCTCCGCCCCACGGTTCTCATTTCACCCAGAGAAGCACCCTGTTTATTGCTTTTACTACAACGTGAAAAGCATCCGACCAGATTTCTCTGACCACGTCTAGCTCCAAAAGCCTGAGACTGTGGAGTCTTCCCTGAGCGATGATTCGTGTCCATCTGGGGAGAGACACGCTGGCCGCACGTGGGTCGGGCAGACCAAGCGTGTGGGGTCAGCCCCGGGATGTCCCTTGCTCACAGAGACCCTAGGATGCCGGCTGCTGAGGGCCCAACAGTTGCTCGGTTGCTAGAGCAACGTGGGAAGTCACTCACTGCAGTTCCAAGAAATACACTGTATTTGGCCGAGGGCAGCCGGCAGCAGTGCCCACTTGGAAATAGTGACGTGACTGCCGAGCGCTGGGCACGGACACAGAGGAGGGACGCCAGGGCCGGGCAGGCCTGGGCGCTTCAGGCAGGCTGGCTTCAAGTCCCGCAGAGGTGTGGGGGTGGCGGGGGCAAAGCAAAGGAGAACCCCTGCTGGTAAAAACAGCGAGGACGATGGTGAGGCGGACGGTGCCCAGGTGTGCGCGGCAGGGCTGGCCGTGGATGCAGTGATGGACGTGCACACGTGGGCAGCCAGCTGCAGACCAGAGGCCGCGCCCAGGGCCCATCCCTTCCCCCCACGCAGGGCGAAGGCCAGGAAACAGGACACCAGGCCATTAGCCCCACACCCTCATGACTGTGCACTTCAGGTTCCAGGGACAGAAATAGCTCCCATCGCCGAGAAAACGCTGAGGTCTGTAGATAATAAGAGGAACGCTCAGGGTGAAAGTGAGACTCTGAGAGCAGGCACAGAAGAAAGAGGTGGCACACCACAGCTAGGGACCAGGGTGGGGCTTGGGGAGAGGCCACGTTCTAGTTCTAGTTCAGACCTGCCCTCGGCCTGCTCAGCAGGGAGCCCCGGGTACCACTGGAAGTGCTGGGGAGTCCAGGTCAGCAGACAGACAGATGGGCGACAGGTGTATAGGGTGCGTGCAGAGATGTCCAGGATAAAGCAGACCCCCTGGGCAGGGAGCGGGGGCAATAGCTTCCCTCGCCCCTCGGAGAGGAATACTTTGGTTTGGTGTCCAGGGAAACTCCGAGCCATCACCAAACTTCTCCCGAACTGAGGCCCCTGAGTAGGGGGCTGTGGCACACAGGTGGGGACCGCAGTCCCCTGTGGGGCTTGTGTGGTTGAGTGCGGGTCACCCCTGGTACCCAGGCCTGTGCTATAGCCCTGGCTGAGACTGAGCGGCCCATGCCCAGTAACCCTCCTGTTACCCAGGCAAGTCCTCCGGGCAGTCCCACGTGCAGGGCCAGTGATGGGCGTCCTGGCCCTGCAGGTGCACAGGACAGTGTCCTGGCCAAGGGCGCAGGGCCCCCCAGCAGAGAGGGAGGCGGAGCTGGGGCAGCCACAGCGCTCAGCCCCTCCCCTGGAGACCCAGTCTGCAGGGCTTCACGCAGATGTCAGAGAGAACAAGTCCCAGGGCCGGCCCTCAGCCAAGTTAATGGAAGCGCAGTCAGCATCATTTGGGGATTTTAATCAACACCCCCCATGGCGTCCTCCTACTAGGGAAGGACCCAGTTTCACATCTGCGTCCCCCTCCTGATGGCAGGCACAGGCATGTGTCACCTTCTGCACCTGAGCACCCGCCTGGGCGCCTTTAGGTGCAGTCAGGCATGGGTCACGCAAATCTGTGCCTTCGTGGACACGCACCCTTCCCGACAGGCACCGGACCCTGCCCTCCGCTAGCAGGACAGGCCAGAAAGGCACGGCTCCCGCAACCCCCCCCCAGAGGCACACTTTGGGGGAAGAGACTTGCACAACTTTAAGAAGACGGCAGAGCACGTTCTGGCTAATCTGAGGTGAGGAAAGCGGCCTACAGGCCCAGGTGCCTGGGAGATGCCAACCCCCTGACTCACGGGCTATTCGTGATCCTTACCAGTGGCTCCCACAGGTCAGCAGCCTCCAAGCCAGGAAAGAAGCAGACCCGTGGGGGAAACCCACTCTCCAGCCTCCTTAAGGAGTACGGACGAATCCCCAGGGTGGAGGAAGCTACGGTGTGGCCTCCGGCCAGGCTCCAGGCCCTAAGAGACCCTGTCACCAAGGCAGCGGGGCTCTCTGTCCAGGATGAGTGATCCTAATGGGCTTTCAGGGCCTGCCTGCTGTTCTTCCTCCCTGTGGGCACAACTTGCCACACTGTACCCCCCACCCCCACCCTGAAAGACCAGGACAAGAGTGGGGGGGTCAGAGGTATTTCCAGAAGTGATTCTGCTGTGGTCCTGGGGTCCCCCATGGGGACTTGCTGGCTGACTAAGGGCAGGTGGGGGCCAGGGAGGAGAGGGGAGGGAGCTGGGAGAAGGGGCCGCAGTCCTGCCTCCCTGGCCTCCCGGCTCCAGAGGGCGGAGACTGCCTGCTGCTGAGACCTGGGCCTGGGCACCAGAGGGGGAGGGGCGGAGAGGGGAGGAATTCTGCTCACGGGAGGAGCACCAGCACCCCCGTCAGAAAACAACTCCCTGGAAGCACAGATGCCATGTGGAAAGGAACAGCCAGAACGTGGGGCCACGCCTTTCTGGTCATTCCCTCTGTGCTCAGTATCAAACCCCACAGGAAGCCTCTCTGTCCATGGTAGAGACCGGGAGAGAAAAAGCCAGATGATCGACAGAGAGACCAGGGCCGCCAATGAAACGCAGGCAGGAATCACAGGCGGCGGTTAAGGGAGAGAGACGGCTGGACTCCGGCTGCCTGGACTTCAACGCTGGGCCTGCCATCTCCACGTCCTGTGACCTTGGGCAAAGCCACCCGGGCCCTCTGTGACTCAGTTTCCCCCTTTCTGAAATAGGGGCCGGGCCCAGGGTTGTGGTGGGAATTAAGGAACCAGAAAATTCTCATGACAATGGCTGTCGCTAAATAGGTGCTCAGTGTCGGCTACGGTCATCAGCATCATCTGCTGCTGAGCTCAGAGAGAAAGCCAGTTTAAAGGTGGGAGCAGTCCAGCCCTGGCTGGTGTAGCTCAGTGGATTGAGCACGGGCCTGTGAACCAGACAATCGCGGTTCAATTCCCAGTCAGGGCACATGCCTCGGTTGCAGACCAGTTCCCTGCAGGCCAGTTCCCAGCAGGGGATGCACAAAAGGCAACCATATATTGATGTTTCTCTCCCTCTCTCCTTCCCTTCCCCTCTAAAGATAAATAAATAAAATCTTAAAAAAAAAAAAGTGGGAGCAGTCCTGCCAGGAGCGAAGAGACCCGGGCCCCCAGAGGGTTCATTCATTCCCGACACAATGTGGGACGACTAGGGACCGAACATGCGTGTGGATCCTCCCCGGTATCCATCCTTAAAGCTAAGATTTTAATCTCAAATAGTTCCCCTGATAACTGGGTAAGTCTCGGTGCCGCTCACTTCTACGAATTCTCAAAACAGGTCTTAAAAACAAAACAAAGCGTGCCTTCCTCCCCAGACCTGGAGAAGTTCCAAAGGGAGGTTTTCCTCTGGACACAGGAAGGGGGGGGCGGTCTAAACAAGAACAGAGCAACCAGAAACATCATTAAGACGGTGGAACTGCAAACGCTAATTGTGATCTGCACTGCCTCCTTGGAAGTCCACACCCAGAGATGTTATTTTCCTCCGTTAAAACACACTGTTTCTGCCCTGGCCGCGTGGCTCAGTTGGTTGGAGCATTGTCCCAAGCACAGAAAGGTTGCAGGTTCTATCCCCAGTCGGGGAACATACGGGAGGCAACCAGTTGATGTTTCTCTCTGTCTCCCTCCCTCCCTTCCATTCTGTAAACACATCCTCTGGGGGCGATGAAAACAAAACGAGAAACCTGGGCTTCTGCTTCCTGCAGTCAGAAGGAGGAGACCCAAAGCGCGGCCGTCCTTCTCCCCCGCGCCCCCAGACACACAAAGAACACTTTTCAATGTTGTTCCCAACCTCGCCTTCGAAAGGACGTTTGCCGTGGAGCCCCGGGTGGGGCACCCTGCACCCCACTTTCACATCCGGCCGCGCGAGAGGCCCTTCCACATTTTTCTTTGGAAAAACCATTTGGCCCCACGCGCCACTGTTTTGGGAGAGACTGAGAACAACGGTCCTACCCCTCACCCCCAAATCGCAAAAGACAAAGCCTCTTTTTTAATGTGAGTGGAGAGGCCACCTCTGTGTCCCTGATAAGGATCCGGGTGGGTCTCCTCTTACTCCGTTTGGGGGTTTCTGGACTCAGTTTGGTTCTGTTTCAATTCTGAAGATCTTCCCCCCCCCGCCCCCCATTATATCTTTTAACTGCTCGTTCCTGAGGACTGGGCTGTGATGGAGAAACCTACTTATTTTCTAATGGTGCTTCTACACATTCTCGAGCTTTTGGGCAGATCTTCTTTTAAATGTTTTATTACTTTTTAGAGAGAGGAGAAGGGAGAGAGAAAGAGAAGAAGGGAAAGATTGATGTGAAAGAGAAACACTGACCGGCTGCTCTTGTAGGCCGCCCGGACGAGGGACCGAACCCGCAGCCCAGGCCCGGGCCCCGCCTGGCCACGGGAGCCGCAGGCTTTGGCTTTGGCTTTGAGGGGTGGCGCCCGGCCAACTGAGCCATGCCAGTCAGGGCTGGGCCGGGTCTTCATGTCGGCGGTGGGAGGGGTTTGGGGACACTGCAGGTAGCCCTTTTCGCCATCTTTGGATAATCAGCTGATGCAGAATCAACAGCTGCTCCCCAGAGAGACTTCAGGGGTCGGGGGGTCTGGTCCGCATGAGTGTGTAAGGAGCGCACGCTTCTCCGCTCTCCTACCCAGAAACCTGCACCCCCCTCACTGCCTACACAAGCCAGGTTCCCAGTCCTTTGGTCAGCCCTACAAAGGGGCTCCCTCGGCCACCTAGGTCAGGCCCTCACCAGTGCACTACCATCCCCTGCCCCCTCCGGTAGACACACACATTTCCTGCCAAGTGTGACACCAGGCCTTCCCGGGCCACCAGCCGGCCCACTGGGGTTGCCGAAACCCCCAAGTCTGAGACTCAGGCATTTGCCGTTCGAATTTTATTCTTCTATTATTACACAGGTACTTATTAACTACAAGTCTATAGCCATGAATTATAAATTACATGATTTTATTTTACCTTAATATTTCTTCTTTACTTTCAGGGTTACCAGGAAGGGCCAGGTATCTGGGTTCGGAAGTGTTTGTGACACTTGACACGCGACAGCCAGCCTGGGCATAGCTGACAAATTCCGGCTGCAGGGGAGCGTGCTTTGGGCTTTAAAGGGCCACGTCCTTCCCTGTGATAAGTCACCGAGCAGTGCTGGGGGAGGGGCCACCGCAGGGGAGGCTGGGACGGATCCGCAATGCCACCCTCTGCCTCTCTGCACAGGGCTCCCTGCACGGTGACCCCCATGGCATTGGCTGTCCCTGTCGCCCTTGATAAGGAAGCATGTGGCAGAAAGACCCAACAGGCACTCGAGAAAGGGCTGGAAACACAAAAGGGCGCTAACAGAAACCTGAATTCTCACACTTGCCATTGGTATTGGGGGCATCAGCACAAGACACAGACTCACAGAAGAGACGACAAGGGCTTATCTACAGGGCCCGCTCTCCAGTGATAAAAAACACCAGGCTTTTGGCTTATGTGAGGACATGGGCTGTGTTCATCCGCCTGTTTGCCTTATGGCTCCTGAGCGCCAGGTGCAGGAGGCCTGCAGCAATGCTAACCGCAGACCCTGGTGTCCTCCGCTCTGAGCAAACTTGGACTTCAGAAAGACCTACAGTGCAAGCAATCACTCACTCCCCAGAAAGTACTGACACCTCCCACCTGCCTAGGTGGTGGCCAAGTGCATCCCAAATCGGGTGAGGGGAATGCCAGTGACACCCTGAGACAGTACACGCTGTCCCTGCCACAGACAGACAGACAGGCGACCGGAGCAGTGCCCCTCGAGAAAAGCGAAACTGGTAGGGACGTGAGCACCTCCCAGGAAGGCGAGGCCCTGGCCTCTCAGGCAGGATGCCCACCCGTGCCCTCTGACTTTCCACGACAGAGAACGGGGGGCAGGACCCAGCTGGGAAGGAAGGGGCCCGAAACCCTGAAGACAAAGCACACAATCAGAGCGCCCGTAGTCCAGCCCACAGACCTGTCAGAGAGGTGACTGGAAGACCCGCCTGCCCCTGCGGGGAAGAGTCGCCTGGCACTGGGTGTGACCTAACACAGGCACAGGTGTGGGTTTTCTGGGCCCCCCAGCATCTGATCTAGAGGGGTACACTGTTTGGGGGACCCCCGTGCTAGTCTCCGTCCATGTGACCCCTTCCAAGCTCTCCAGCACTTTGTGTCCTGGCCAGGGAAGGGCACAGGGCCCAACAGAGGCCGAGAGCTGGACCCTGGAGCCCCACCGGGAAACAAACCCTCCTCCAAGGCCAGGACGAAAGCTTGGGGCTCGTCCTTACCGGTAGGTTGCCACCTCCAGGCTGAGGCTGGTCTTCACCTGCACCAGGTCCTGATAGTCCCGCAGCCGGTCGGCCATGGCCAGGCTGAGGGCGGCCTTCTCATCCTCCAGGTGGGCGATCACACTCTGCAAAGGACGGACAGAGGGTTTTCTGATCAGATGGCTGGAGCTTTGCTGGGTGGAAGGTAAGGTGCCAATGGTTCTGGACACAGAGGTGAAAAACCTCCGGGGCAATTAGAGACGCAGTCACGGCAAGGATGATTTTAAATGCCGCGTTTATTCCACATAGGAGGGCTTTTTTATTGCCTTATGGAAGATTTTAATAGGACAATGGCTTCTCTGTTTATACTCTCTAACGATAATGGATGCTGAAGGGTTTCTTAAAGCCTCTCCAATGCAGATATCAGGCCGCTGAGGAAAGTCAAGACATGGAGCCGGCCAACTAAGATGCTCTTGAAAATAAGCCAAGACCAGAAAGCAGGGCTTTACAATCTTTGAAACAGAAGGTAATTGGATTTGAAAGAGAACTTCCCTCAGACTCATGATGTCCCCAGTAGTAAGCAGGTAACCTAATGCAGGGTTGTTTCACACAAAAAAGCTGTTTTCATATCATCTGGGGAAACCCCTGGCAGGCATGGCTCAGTGGATTGAGCGCCAGCTGCAAACCAAAGGGTCACCAGTTCAATTCCCAGTCAGGGCACATGCCTGGTTGCAGGCCAGGTCCCCAGTAGGGGGCGTGTGAGAGGCAACCACACATTGATATTTTTCTCCCTCTTTCCCTTCCCCTCTCTAAAAATAAATAAATAAATAAAATCTTCAAAAAAATAAAATAAAATCATTGGGATAGAAAAGTTACAGGAATGAGACAGGAATACATTCTGGGCATAAATGTCAAAATTCAGACCTGGAAATAATTTTTTTTTTACCATACTTGTAGGACAGTTCATAGGGCACGGGTTCACACGACCCTTGGAGCTCTGACACACGTTAATTACATCTGCCCATCGCTCCCTGAAGAATTGGGTTAAAAGCGAAATGATTAAAGTAATATCACCCTCCTTAAAGTGTATTAAGCTGGCAGTATCTCTTAATGAATAAACGCAATGACTTCCTTCGTTCCATTGGGCAGATCGGCGTGCCCCACGTTTTGTAGTTAGCCTTGGGAATAATTATAACTGAGCAAACATTTCAACCCAGAAATAAGGCCATACACTTGAACTTCCGGTTTAGAAGGGGGAATGGCATTATTTCGGAATACAACGAACAGGCTACATTTTTAGCCGTTTATCTTGGTGGAATGCAAACATTTTAAGATAAGTGGGAGAGGGCATCTGTCTCCCCCCACCTCACCACCAAAGGCCCTGGCAAAGGTCCACGATGTCACTTCCGTGAAGCCACGGAATGTCCTTACCTAAGATCTCACACTAGATTTGCCACTTTAAAAAATGCATGATAAGTAATTCTGCTTCCCCAGCAGTTATACTCCTAAGCTAATGATTGTCCTCAGGTTCTCTGTGTATATATAGCGTGGTGAAAACAAAAACTCAAACCACTTACTTTTATTTATTTTATTTTTTAGAAGAATTTATTTATTTATTCTTAGAGAGGACGGGAGGGAGAGAGAGAGGGGAATATCTATCGGTTGCCTCTTGGAAGAGCCCAGACCAGGGACCGAACCCATAACCCAGGCAGGTGCCCTGACAAGGAATCAAACCGCTGACCTTTCTCTCTTTTTGGAACGACACCCAGCCAACTGAGCCACACCAGTTGGGGCTGAATCCACTTAGCTTTTAAAAGTAACGGACTACATTTAAGACCTGCCCACTGGTGTCTTCAGGAGGATAAAGACTAAGAGCCCCCAAAGCTGGCTTTATAAATAGACACAGAGGGTTACCAACACAGACCATCGGCCAGTCTTGATTTAAGTGACAGAGATGCCACCATGCACCATGACGTCCATACATTCTATAGTTAACTATCGGTGTTAAAATCCTACTTTCACCAATTCTACAGCATCAACTCTTGTAGCTGAGTATAAACTCAGCTACAAGATTGGAGTGTAAATATAAATATATTATTCCTTTTACTATAGAAAATTCAACCTAAATATTAAAACTTGAGTCCTTATCGTAACCTGTTCTTTCCAAAGAAGTTCAATTATTGTTAAGTAGCTTAGAAAAAAAATATCAGATGCGCTCCGTTCTCTAGCCGGGAGCCCCCTGAGCAGGCCACGCCCCCCTCGTCATGCCGAAGAGGTCCGCGTGGAGGTGCTTCCCTGCGAGGGGGCACCGAATCGCTCTGCACCCGCCCTGGATACAAAGAAGAAAACCAAACGGTGCAGAAGTCAGAGCAAGTATTGTTCCAACCTCATTTCCAAGTGAGTCAACTTTTCCCGAACTGCCAAGAGGAAGTGAGCTGACATTTGGAGGCAGGAACAGAAGATGAATTGGCTCCCGACTCTCTTCGGAGAAACCGAAACCCATCCAGCCTATGGAATAAAGCTTCAGACCTGGGCTGTGCTTTGCCACAGGCTTTCAAACCAGGGGCCCGGCCTGAGCCACAGCGTGTTAACTCCAGCTGGAGCAGAGGCCACCGCCCCTAACACAGGCAGTGCCAGGCAGAGAGTCCCCTATTTGAGTTGCCATTTAAGGGCAGCACCAAATAAATGTGATGCTTTGGGCAGCATCACAACTGATGCATACCAGGGGCAGTACGCTGCTCTGAGTGTCCAGAGAATTCTGTCTCTTAACCACACTCGAGCAGTTCCTTGCTGAGCAAGTCACCCAGATGTAATGGTAAGAGCTTGCAAATGCCAGCGTTAGGGCTCGAGGGAATCTAAAATGCCATAACCTCAAGTCTGCGTGTGACAGCCCGCTTCAGACACAACAGCTAAGTGTATCAATGATCATAAGCACTGGCTGGATGCTAAGTAAGTATTTATCGCTCTAGCCCAGACCCCACTCTGAACTCTAGACTCATAATTTTTCTTACACTATCAGGTGGGTGTCTCTGCACCCCAGATCTGCCCTCCTGCCCCCACCCCCTTCAGCCAAGAGCACTCCCTTCATTCGGGGGCTCAGAACACTGCCCTAGAGTCAACTCTGAGTCCTCCTTCTCTCTCCCTCCCCCCGCATCCACCCACAAACCCCACTGACTTCAAGTCGGGAGGGGATCCCTGGCTCAGCCCCTTCCCTCCGCATCTGGCCCGAGCCTCCATCACCTCCTGCCACTCGTGCCCCACAGTCTGTCTTCAGCACAGCACCCAGAGCGACTCCATGAAGATGGTCACCCCTTGCTCTGCTCGGAGCCCTCCGGCGGCGAGCCACGACACTCCGAGCAAAGCCCACGCTCCCCTGCTCACTCCGCTGCAGACGCACCCACCACTCGAGCACCGAGTGCCGTCTCTAATGCGAGACCTTCCAGGCCAAGGGGCATTTGCTGAAGGTATGCACCTTGCAAGCTCTTTTCAAAAATGGGAAACTGAGATACAAACAGTGGCAGAGAGAGAACTCAGGCCCAGGTAGGGTGGTGGCTAACCTGTCCAATCAAGAGCAGGTTCTCAGCCCTGGCTGGTGTGGCTCAGTGGACTGAGCGCCGGCCTGTGAACCGTAGGGTCACTGGTCCATAGGGTTCCTGGTTCCATTCCCAGGCAGGGCACATGCCTGGGGTGTGGGCCAGATCCCCAGTAGGGGGCGTGTGAGAGGCAACCAGACAATGATGTTTCTCTCCTTCTTTCTCCCTTTCTTCCCCTCTCTAATAAATAAGTACAATCTTAAAGAAAAAAAGCAAATTCTCATTCAAACGGGGCCTGGAGGCTTTTTACAAATAGCCTCCGAAGCTGAGAGCTCAGATTCTCAAGCAAAAATCTCAGCGTTTAAGGGCAAGGCCATCATAAATCACCAAAGCCCGTTCCTGCATCCCGGGAGACAGAGTGCATTAGGCTTGCACGTGTTCTACGAGACATGAAATGCTGGGGACTTGTGTGTCACTTCAGCAAACGTTTCTCTGCACATCTGAGGTGAGGGGCCTGACCAAGAGAAGGCAGCTGGGCCATCTGGGAAGGACCACTTTCCCCAGAGAGTCCTACCTGGAGCGGCAAAGGGGGTTCGGAGCCAGCTAGCTGTATGCTGGGCAATGTGTGGGGGCTGCCGCCTCCACACTGAGCGGGGAAGGTCCCCATTAAACCACATGGAAAAAGTAAACAAAAGACCTAACACTAAAACTATTCAGACATCAGCCAGCTGGAAAAGTCTGACAGCATTTTAGGATTTCAGATGACTGAGGGCAGGACCATTATCCAATGAATGCAAAGTGAGTCCTGGTTAAAAGTTTCTACACGTTCCTCCATACCTGTTTTGTTTTTGCAAGTTTTAAGTGCACAACGTAATAACACATCACCTGCACACTGCATCTCACGCTCACCACCCAAAGTCTTTTTCTGCCACTATTTATCCCCCCTTTGCCCTCTCCCACCTCCCCCACCCTCCCCAAAGTTTATCTTTGATGGAACAGACAGAAGGAAGGAAATGTGGCCCAGTGGTTAGCTGGTCTGGTGTAGCTACTTACTCACGAGGTGACCTCCATGCCTCAGTTTCACCTGGAAAATGGGGCTAATATTGGTACCGGCCCCATAAGACGGGTGTGAGGGCTGACAGTGAACACGTGTACAGGTCTTTACTCCTCGCTCTTCACTTTTAAGGGAAAGAAGCAAGTTCCACCGAGAGAGGTGTCACTGGATAGGAAGTTGAGGGTGGGATCCTAATTCTGGGTCAGGTGTGGCTCCAGGCAAGGCACCTTCGGGGCGGCAGGGGTCTGGGGGTCCCTAAGTCTAAGGAGGGCTTGAGGGCAACTCCAACGGCTCTTCCCAAGTCCCCACCTCTCCTCTAGTTGGAGGGATTCTTCTTTTATCTGTTTCTTAGCTGGGGTTGAATTTAAGATTTCATTAGTGGGAAAATTTTTTTTTCCTACTGCTACAAAGGGATATGGAAACCAGAGCTTCTAAGTCCAAAATGAGCCAAGTGACCTATGACAGCAAATGTATGATGAGATTTAGCCCACACAGCCTGCCTCAGAGAAGCATTTTCCAAACCCAGCAAACCTCACACAGCAAAATTCATGCTATCACCAATCTTTAACTCACAGCTACAAACTGTTCCCTCAAAATACTTCTGAATTTATAGGGATGTTATTTTAAGCCATCTTCCTGAGAAATGACTGATGGTATGATTTGGAATATTTCCAATTTTGGCCTCAGCTGGGCAGGACCGGGGCCAACCCCAGGACCGGAGTGGAACAATAAATCACACACAGGTGTCACAGTGGCCACGTCACAGGTTCGGGCCTTGCTTCTCTGAAATAGTACCTGTTTACATTACTCTGCATTTGTCATAACATCCTGCCACAGCGACCCCACGTTTCCACCACTTTTACACTACCTAGAGACCTGACTTCAGCTGTAGGAAAAAAAATCTCTGATTAAGCGCTTTTCTGCCTTATGGCTGTTGCCCCTCCCAGAACACAGAGCGTAGCGGTCCAGGGAGCCACCACCAGCCGGGAAATCAGTCAGGCAAAAATAAAAAACCGTGTTTGGAAAACAGCTTTAGTTTTCCCCAGGGGAGCACCAGAGCCAATGGGGCTGCCCTTCTAAGCGGCTCTGAGTGAGGACTTGACATTGTCTAGAAACCTCTGGGGGAAGGAATCTATCCGGGAAGGATGGGGCTGTCACTTGTGGAAGTCAGAAGGGTTTCCTGGTTGATTAATCTGTGTACTAGCGTCTGGGAAGCACAGGAAACCGAAAAGAACCTAGATGACAGGGACAGAGCTATTCACCAGGACCTGGCACTTGGCTCAGGCCCGCTGAGTCGATGAACCAACGGCCGAGCTCTTTTTCCAGGGTTGACGAGATGTGGGGACCCTGAGGTCCCGCGGCATAACAAGGGGTTCATCCCTAGTAGGTTCGGGCACCGTCGGGGACAACCCCACCATCCGCGACGCGGGTGAAGGCGCTGCAGGTTCTGGGAGGCCCGCGGCTGCCCCGCCCCCTGCAGGGCGCCCAGGGCCACGGCGGGGACACTCCTTGTGAACCGACCTGCCGCTCCTCCGCCTGCTGTTCATAGGCCTCGCGCAACCGAAGCAGCTCGTCCTCCAGCAGCGCACGCAACTGCTCCAGCTCCAGCGCCTGGCGCTGCAGTGCCTCCGCCTCCTGCGCGCACAGCCGCTTCTCCTCCTCCGCCTGGCGCCGGCTCTCCTGGCCACGCCGCAGTGCCTCCTCCAGCTTGCGCACCTCGTCCTCGTACATCTGTACGGTCTCCCGCCACGATTCCGCAACCAGCAGCGTGTAGCTGTCGTGCACCTCCTGCAGGCGCTGTGGGGGCGCGGCGGAGCGGGCGGCGCGGGCGCTGTAGCTCAGGGTAAGGCCGGAGGAGCGCGCGCGAAGTTCTCGAACGTCGCGTTCATGGGCCTCGTGGATGCCACGGCATTCCGCCTGCAGCCGGCCCAGCAGGGCCTCGAGGGCGGCGCGCGCGCCCAGGGCCTCCTGCAGCTCGCGCCGCTCAGCGCTCAGCTCGGCGTCCAGGCGGCGGCGGGCGGCGCGCGCCTCCTCGGCCAGCAGCCCCAGTTCCCGCAGCTCGCGCCTCAGCGCATCGCGCTCTCCCTCGGCCAGCGCCGTGGCCCAGCTCAGCTCGTCCAGCTGCTGCCTCAAGCAGCGCGCCTCCTCCGCCCAGCGCGCCTGCCCCTCGGCCTCCAGTCCCTCCTGCCCCCGCCGGCCGCGCAGCTCCTCTTCCAGGAGCAGGTTTTCGCGCTCCAGTTCCCGCACTCGGCACACATAGTCATAGAGCCGGACGTTGAGCTCCTGCAGTTCGGCCTTCTCCGGGCCCGTGTGCAGCCTCCAGGACAGCATGGTGCTGGCTGTGCGGGTCACTGCCAGCCGGTCGGCCGATTCCCTCCTACCCTGGTCTTGTCCCCGCCGCCGCGCCGCGCCGCTCCGGCCCCGCCGCCGCCGCCCGGGAGGCCCGCAGACTGCGGGCGGAGCTGGACAGCAGCGGCACTTAGCCAACCGGGCGCCCGGAAGGGGGCGCACGGCCTCCAGCCAATCAGAGCGCAGCCCGGCACGGCCCCGCCATAGCGGCTTCGCAGCGCCCCCTGCCGGACGGACCGCGGCACCGTGCGAATTCGCGCCTCAGGGTGCGGTGGCCCAAGTCTTCGAGTCCTTGTCACCGGCTGTCAGGTACCAGCGGGCGGCGGCTCGCTAGCTGGGCAGGGCTCTGTTCTAGAAGGGATGCCCGGGAAGTCTCCCTGTTGCTGCCCTGTCTCGCGCACCTATGGCACTCAAGGGTGAAGACGTCCATGGACGGAAATGGAAGCCGCCATATTAGGTGAGGTGCCTCCGTGTTTCAGAGGCCCTGGAGACTGGAGGATTTTCTATCTAAAAATTATATACATGCATGGATAGCATACGTCTATAACCTGTTGTACACATATACGTGCTTTAGAAATTGTATTTTAACTTAAACCATAAATGCGTATTCATTTGCCAACGTTTCGATGTATGAGCAAGACTTTGGACACGGGGTGCTGGAGTTCCACGTTTTCCTTTTTGTATTAACTAACTACCCACAGGGACCTGGTCTGCACTTTCCAATATCCGTTTCTTTCCTTTCGAGTAAGAACGTAGGAAGTGCTCCACGTGCAGGACACCACACATTTCCCCAAATGTTTGCAGTTGTCATCCCTACATCGGCAGTGCCAGCTGTCTTTTTGCCAACCCCGTGCCCCAACTGCATCTTCCTAGAAACCACAGCTCTTTTGTGCACTTGTATTTCATTCGTTTTCACAACAGTTGTTGAAGTTACAGGGAACGCAATGAAGTCCAAGCGGCATTAAGGGGCACAGGAGCAAACCCGGCTGGCCCTTGGTTTGGGGGGCCCCCCAGAGGAGTGGGGGCAGAAGTTGGGGTGGGGCCTGGGGAGTCATCCACTGGCCCGAGGGCTCCTCGTGGCCCAGCCAGCACTCAGTGTGGTTTACCTTGGCATGGAGAGGTGGGTTGGCTGACAAGTTGTTCAGGGACAGTCACTTGAGATAGCTGCCAGTACTGTCCTTGTGACAACGCCTGTCACAAGGTGTGGGTCTCCAGCCTCGAATGGGGCAGAGTGGGCTTTAGTTTTACTGGACGCCCCATATCACAGACCCTATTTGGCGGGTAGAAATTAATATCTTTCAGGTCAGAATTCCTCTCCCTTTCTGCCAAGGCTGAGTGGAGGGCAGGGTAGGGTTCAGAGCCAAATCGACATGTCCTACATTAGAGAAAGTCCAGGTTCAAGGCCTGGTTTGGGCAGCAGCCAGTGTCGTGATCTTGGCCAACTTCTCCTCTTCAAGCCACAGCTTCCTTGGCTGTCATTAGGGGACTTGGACTATGTTTTCTCCAAGGTCCTGGGCTACCCAAGGTGGCCCCAGTCACCTCACCTGCTGCCACTCACTCCCTCGTTGTGCCAGTACCTGTCAGAATGACACCTCGAGTTTGGGTTATGAAAAGCACCGTGGCTTCCTAGTTTGTCCCTCTTCTTTGCACCAACACGTGCTGGGGGAGGTCAGATGCCATGTCAGGTCACGAACAGCCCTTCAGAGAGGCCCACGCAGTGAGGAAACACAGCCTGAGACCCAAAGCCTTCTGTGAGCTAAGGGCCGCCGTCAGCCACGTGAGTGAGTGGGGAGTGGATTGCCCAGCCCCAGCCAGTCCTTGAGAAAAGCACAGCCTGGCCTGCAGTCTGACGGCAGCCTCCTGATGGGCCCCGAGCCAGAACCACCCAGCTCAGCCGATGCTGGATTCCCCCATCCTGGGAAACTGTGAGACAGCAAATGTTGGTTGATTTGGGATTGTCTGTTAGGCAGCAACAGGTAACTAACTAGTACAGGCTGTTTCCGGCTTTAAAATCCTATCGGCCTAAATTTCCTGAATCAGTGCTATCGAAGGCAGGGAAAGCCGGATTTATTAGGATTGTCAGTCTCCCAGCCAGAATCCATAAGGAGATAATACCAAATCCACCCAAAATAGATTTTGGAGTTACAATATTTATTGTATTTGTCTTTATAAGCGTTCCCAAAGCTTTGTTTATTGTGCCTCACTGAACGCTTTCTTTCACAAATGTAGGTGGAAATCCAGACAAATGAGGTGATTGGAATAATGCACGGGTTCCTTTTCACCTTTGCGTTTCTTCAGTGGTAAATAAAAATGAGGGGCGGGCTCACTTTGTCTCACCCCAGCCCCGTCATGAGAAATTTGTCTTGAGCAGCAGTGACACCTGCTGAAATCTTCCCAGGCAGCCACGGGGCCCAGGGGGACCCCAGGGGTCCTAGGACAGGGCAGCGGGGCAGCGGCTGGTGGGAGAGTGCAGAGGACTAAGCCACCTGCAGAGAGGCGGCTGAAGCCTGGAGAGAGACAGCCTAGCAGTGGGGCTCCCACATCTGCCTGGATTAAGAAACGACCTTTGACAGGACAGGAAGGGACAAGAACTGACTTTCTGTTTAAAAGAAGACCCCAGGATAAGAGGGGGGAATAGGAAGGAAATAGAGGACATGGGGGGTCCAATTCCATGGGGAAAAACATGACCACACAGGGCATCTAGGCAGAGACCCAGGACAAGCTCACGGCAAGAGTAAGGTAACAAATGGAAGACAGCCAGTAAGCAGAAGTCCTCCCCATCTCCCCTCCCAGGCCCACTCCCTCGCCTCTTTAAAACCATAGCCTGATGTAGCCAGGATAATGGAATTACACAGGGCTCCTTCTTACAGATCTGACTTCCTTTGTTCAACATAGCAGTGTCCTTTGTAATAGCCAAGAGCTGGAGACAAACCCAAATGCCTGGTAACCAAAATAGTGAATAACTCAACGGTCACCTATTCATACACTGTGATCTTGTCCAACACAGCAACCCGAACGAATGACCTGTTGCTACAGGCAGCAGCATGGATTCGTTTCAGAAACCTGGGACTGAATAAAAGAAGCCAGACTCAGAAGAATGTACCACTCAAAACAGACAAAACTGAGTTGGGGGGGGGTGTTAGAAATCAGAGCTCCTCCTTTGGGGAGGATGCAAAGCAACATAAAATGTCCCAGGGGGTTTTCAGTATTTTAAATCGTAGCCATTATGGTGGATATTTAAGAGTTAGGGTTTAGGGTTGGCATTGGGGATAGTATTAGAGTTAAGGTTTTACATTGTGTTAGTCACTAAACATTTTTGCATGTATTTATTGGCTGCTCATTTGTGATGTGTCCGTATCTTTTGCCTATTTTTTTGGTGAAGCCCTGTGTCCTTTGCTCATTGGGTTTTTTGTTTTGTTTTACCTATTCTGGATACAAGTCCTTGCATCTATGGTTAATTCTTGCATCGATGGTTTTTTCTCTATGGTGCTGCAAATATCTTCTCCCACTTTAAATCCTCTCTTTTCCCTTTTCTTAATGGTGTCTTTCGGCAGTGAAGACATAATTCACATACCATAAAACATGCCCGTTTAAAGCGAGCATTTCAGTGGTTGCTAGTGTGCTCACAAAGTCGTGCATCCGTCACAGCGATCTAATTCTGGAACATTGTCAGCAGCCCCAACAGAACCCCACTCCCATCAGCTGTCACTTTCTACTTCCTGCTTTTCCCATCCTTGGCAACCGCTAATGTACATTTTCGTCTCTATGGACTTGCTTATTCTGAACATCTCATAGAAATAGAATCGGGAAATGGGTATTTCATTTGTGTGTGGCTGCTGTCACTGAGCGTGTTTGCAAGGTTTCTCCGTGTCCTAGCCTGTACCAGCTCTTCATTTCTTTACGGCTGAAGGCTGTCCCACTGCATGGGTATGACAGACTTTGTTAGTTCGTCAGCTGACGGACGCTTGAGCTGTCCCCGCATTTTGGCTGTTATGAATAATGCTGCTGTGAGCATTCTCTACAAGTTTTGGCATGAATGTATGTGTTCAGTTCTCTTGGATCTAAGGCTGGAGGTAGAAATGCTGGGTTTAAGGTAACTCCCAGTTTCACTTTATTGAGGAACAGCCAAACTTCTCAAAAATGGTCTCACCATTTTATTTTTTTCTTTTCTTTTTATTGATTATGGCATTACATTTGTTCTATTTCCCTCCCTCCGTTCCCCTCCACCCTGCACACCCCTCCCCCACCATTCCCCCCCCCTTTAGTTCATGAACACGTGTCTCAGGTTCTTTAGGTTCTATATTTCCCCTACTATTCTTACCCTCTCCCCTATCTATTTTTTATCTATTGTCTATGCTACTTATTTTCTGTACCTTCTCCCCCCTTCGCCTTCTCCCACTCCCCTGTTGCTAATCCTCCATGTGATCTTCATTTCTATGGTTCGCTCCTGATCTAGCTGTCCTCTTAATTTGCTTTTGTTTTAGGTGTGGTTGTTGATAACTGTGAGTTTGCTGTCCTTTCACTGTTCATCTTTTTTATCTTCTTTTTCTTAGGTAAGTCCCTTTAACACTTCATATAATAAGGGCTTGGTGATGATGAACTCCTTGAATTTGGTCTTATCTGAGAAGCACTTTATCTGTCCTTCCATTCTAAATGAAAGTTTTGCTGGATAGAGCAATCTTGGTTGTAGGTCTTTGGCTTTCATGACTTGGAATACCTCTTTCCAGCCCCTTCTTGCCTATAAGGTCTCTTCTGAGAAATCCGCTGACAGTCTGATGGGAACTCCTTTGTAGGTGACTATTCTCTTATCTCTTGCTGCTTCTAGGATTCTCTCCTTCATTTTAATCTTGGCTAATGTAATGATGATGTGCCTTGGTGTGTTCCTTCTTGGGTCCAACTTCTTTGGGACTCTCTGAGCTTCCTGGATTTCCTGGAAGTCTATTTCCTTTGCCAGAACGGGGAAGTTCTCTGTTATTATTTGTTCAAATAGGGTTTCCACTCATGAATGTTCCTCTTCCCCTTCTGGTACCCCTATAATTCGAATGTTGGAACGTTTAAAGATGTCCTGGAGGTTCCTAAGCCTCTCCTCATT